CATTGTTTGCCAAGCATAGAGTTTTGTAGAGTTTTTTATTTGCCAGTTACCACTACAATATATTTTCTTTTTGAATAAATTATGTTTCTACATTAAAGTTGTATGAATCACCATCAAATAATATTAAAAGCATTATATATTACAGGTACTGTATAAGGTACGTCGTACTTATTGGGATTTATGTACAGGCATTCTTAATGTAAACAAAATTTTAAAACAATGGGGAAAAAAAGGCAATGGAGACCCGACTTTCGACTTCACAACAGCCTCTCGGTCCCCATTATATCCATAAGTTGGGGACTTACTGTATATATGTGTTTGTGTGTGTTTGCGCGTGTATATCTGTGTGTGTGTGGATATTTAGTTATATATGTATATATATATACTTATATATATATATATATACTTGGTTTTTTTTTTTGTTATTAAGCCGACCGGGTCTCGCTTCTACCATCCTGAGACTCTGCTCCCTTATGCCGGCCACACTTGGCCTGACCGCCTGACCCCTTGACCTGTCCTGACCTGCCCTTCGATTGCCCAGTTCGCTCTTTCTCTTACTTCTTCCTCTCTCATTCCTCTTCAGATCTGAATTATTATCAACTTTGTTGGTTTTATAAACGTTATAATTTTCAATAAAATAAATGTCATAATAATGTCATTATCATCATGAATATCATTGTATCAGATTCATGAAACTTATTTTCTTCATCATCATTTCCATTATCATTAATGTAATAATTTTAATAATTACTATCAGTATCATGATTATCATTACTTCTATAATTATTGTTTTTTTTTTTTTTTGTAGTCACCATCAATAGTATAAACACGTGGTAAATGGAGAGAAAAAGATATATACCCTACATAGTTATAAGCTATTTTACACACGATCTTTACGAAGCTGGATGAAATCACTCTGACTCTTCGCTGTCGTCTTCTTGTGGCGACTCGTCCCTCTCGTCTTGTGGCGACTCGTCCCTGTCAGCTGCCCCCTTAGACTTGGCCCTCCTGACTGCCTTTCGCCCTGCCCCTTCCCTCCTGCCTGCTGCTTCCGGACGCTCAGCCCTGCCTGCGGCTTGCACAGGCTCGTCGCTCTCTGGTGCTCTCCTAGCCTTGCCTCTGCTTGCCGAGGCAAGGCTAGGAGCTGCTTGCCGAGGCTTGTCTCTCCCGCCTGCCGCTCCCCTAGCCCCCTCCGTGGCAGCTGCTGGCGGAGTCTTCTCGCTGCCAGCTGCTCCCCGGGGCCCCCTCCTCCTGCCTGAGACCGAGGGCTGGCCGGCGGCCGTCGGCTCAGGCTCACGTGGCGGCTGCAGGTCCGGCAGGAGAAGAAGCGCGTTAGCAACACCTTGGGAGGATTTCCCACACTCTATCGCGGACGAAATTCTCTTCACTCGAGTGCTTACGAACACATGCACACAGACAGACAAACGCACGCACGCACACACACACATGTATGTATGCATATACACATGCACATGTGTATATACCTATACATACATACATACATATACATACTCATATGTATAGGTGTTCATATATTTATATATACACATATATATGTATATACACACATATATACATATATATGCATATATTATACACACGCATATATGTGTATAAATATTTATATGTAGATGTACATATGTATACTATGTATACATAACCATGCATACATACACATATATACAATCATTATATATATATATATATATATATATATATATATATATATATATATATATATATATATAAATATATATATATATATATATAATATATATATATATATATACATATATATATATATATATATATAATATATATATATATATATATATATATATATGTATATATATAGCATATATATACATAGTTATACACATAACATACACACATATATGTATATATATTTATATAAATATTTGTGTGTATATACATATATATACATGCATACATCTCTTTCTCTCTTTCTCTATCACTCTCTCTCTATATATATATGTGTGCGTATATATGTATGTATATGTATGACTATATATATATATATATATATATATATGATTGTGAGTGAATGACTGTGTGTTTGGGTGTTAAAATATGCAGATATATAAATGTATACTTACATTTGCATATATATATACTTATATTAATATAAATATATATAATTACATAAATACAAACAATTATGTATATATATACATATATGTATACATATACATCTACCTATCTATATAATATATATATACATACACACACACATATACACACGCACGCACACGTGTTTGTGTTTTTTTGTGGCTGTATATATAAATAGGTAGACATAGATATAAACTCTTATGATAAGAGAAACGACTTGCCTCCATTTCTCTCAAACGAAGACCTTCCACCGCAGAAAGAAGGCCTCTGACCTTCTCTTCCTGGTTTTCTAACTGCCTCTGAAATTAAGAAGCGAGATAATTACATGTATTTTCTTCTCTTACTTTTCATCACCGTTTGATAAGATCTTGATAAGATCTTTGATAAGATCTTTGATCTTTGATAAGATCGTTTGATAAGATCTTTGATAAGATTCACCCGACGGAGAGGGAGTGTCTGGACGCGTGACACACTTACCTTCATTCGCTTTAACTCGCTCTCTTCCTCTTCGGGTTGCGAGTCCATTTCTCTTGCCTCTTCTTGTTCACTGAGCTTTTTCTGGAAACATGAATTCTTAGATTATTTTCCATCTTTGGCATTATCAGACATTAGTCTCTATTTGGTTGCTACCACCATCAACACCAACGCGTGTGTGCGAAGGACCAGTTCGCCCCTACCTTGAGGACCTCGATCGTCTTGTCTCGTCTACTGAGCTTCTTCTCAAGCTCGCCTCTCGCTTTGGCTGCCTCTTTCTCCTTCCTCTTCTCCCTTGCTTTGAGACTTTCCATCCTTTCATTATTCTCCGCCTGAAAACGAACGACGTTATGAGTACAGCATCACAGGACATGTATTTGTTGATGATATGCATTATCTCTTCCTATCAAGGTGCGCCCACATCAGCAGTTCATTGGTTTCCAAAGGGAGAACTTACCTTGGCTCCTGTGAGCTCGCTCTCCTCTCCCATGTGCCTCGCCAGCGCTTGATTCTTGCCCCATTTTTCTTCCAGGCGAGATTCTCTCTCTATCTTTCTATCTGTTCATCTATGTATCCGTCTCTGAGTGTTTATCAACCCCTCCCTCCCTCTCTCTCAGGTTTCTTCCCTATTTTTTCTGTCTATCTGACAAACACTTTCTCTCTCTATTCATCTCTAAATGAACACATTCTCTTTCTATATCCCGCTCTCTCTCTCTTTCTATCACCTCTCTGTATCTTTGCATGTAACGAAGTATAACTGCAAGTCTGTATCTGATCACACAAGCGACAACTCACCTGTAAAGTTGCAATGTATTCCTGAAGATCTGCGATCTGCTCGTTGAGACCTTCCTTCTCTGCTTCATGCTCCCTCGCCTTACTCTCACACCTTTGCTGATGCAATTGCGCTTGCTTCACCGTCTCCTGAAGCGGTCAACCTTGGTTAGGATGTAGCAGAAATGAGCACTTGATTTGCATCTACCTTGTGTTTTGTCGTTTCCTTAAACTTCCAGGAATCTCAAGTTTCATTACAGAAACAGAAGTATCATGTTCCTACAGTCAGTCGATCGCTCTCTATTTTCGCCCGATTATCTACCTCGTTGACACAGACATGCTCACGCATGAAGAAATGCATTTATTCCTACATGTCAATAAATACACGGTTAGAAATACGGATAAATTCTTCCACACTGTCTTAAGATATGATTGTATGCCGGTCTCCTCTCTCTCCACCTAACTTCTATGCAAAGTGTTAACCTCCCTCCTTCCCTCCCTTTCTCTCTCTCATCTTTTACCTATCATATCCTCATTACTCGCCCACTCTTTCTCTTTCCGTGTCTTTCTCTCTTACTATTTTCTCTCTCCTACTCCTCTTTCTCTCAATCTTCTCTTCATCGCCCTTCCATACCTTTAGAGATGCGATCTCTTCTTCCTTTCTTTCCATCTTCATCATCAGGTCTCTGTTCTCCCTCTTCAGGTCGGCTGCCTCGTCCTCTTTGGTGTTGTAGGCTATGTTCGTGTCCCGTAGTCGGGCCTCGTACTCGGTCTGCGGAGGAGACGACGCGCGTCAGGAATGCCTCTCTAGCCAGGGGAATCAGATATCCGAGGACAACAACCCTCTCTCTGTGCACGTACCTCTACCTGTTTGGTTTCTGCCTTCATCTTCCTCGCCTGCTCCTCGAGTTTGTCCTGCAAGAGAAAAGTGTCTTCTCATATGTTTGTACTTCCCTCCCCACTTCCATACTCTGTGGCTTCCCTACTATCACATTTCTCTTTTCTTTTCTCCTCTCACTTCTTCATTCTTTACTCCCCCTCCCTGTGTCTCTTACATGCACCTGAGTTACCTTGCTTTCCTTTTCCTTTTCCTGAAGTTCCTTCTTCAACTTTTCGATTTCCTTCTTCATCTCCTTCTCCTGCTCCTCGAGTTTGTTCTGCAAGAGAAAAGTCTCAGGAAAGTATCTTCTCATATGTTTCTACTTCTCTCCCCACTTCTATACTTTGTGGCTTCCCTACTATCACATTTCTCTTTTCTTTTCTCCTCTCACTTCTTCATTCTTTACTCCCCCTCCCTGTGTCTCTTACATGCACCTGAGTTACCTTGTTTTCCTTTTCCTTCTCCTGAAGCTCCTTCAACTTTCCATTTTCCTTCTGCAGGATGGCTGCCTCCGCCACCTTCAAGTCGTACCTCTTGCTCATCTCCTTCTCCTGCTCCTCGAGTTTCTCCTGCAAGAGAAAACAGTCGCAGGAATGTCTTTCCATATTTTTCTACTTAGCCCCTCCTCCCATGTTCTCTCTGGCTTCCCTATCCCCTTTCTTGCGTGGTGCAGTGGTAGCGGTCTCGTCCGGCACTCTTGCTGACCCGCGTTCAGTTCCCCCGCACCGCAAGTGGATGGCAACCCCGGCCATTCCTAGCACATCGGGATCATTTAGAAGCAAAATGAAACAGTCTGTCACACCAGGAATAGCCATTTTAAGAAATCGAATAAAACACTATTATTTCCCTTTTTTCCACTCATTTCCCTCTCTTCTTCTTTTTTCTCCTCTCTCCGTCTCTCTATCTCTTGTACGTACCTGTAGAAACCTTTTTTCCTTTTCCTTTTCCTTCTTGATCTTTCCGATTTCCTTCTGCAGGTTGGCTGCCTCCACCTCCTTCGAGTCGTACTTCTTCTTCGTCTCCTTCTGCTGCTCCTCGAGTTTGTCCTGCAAGGGAAAACAGTCTCAGGAGAGCGTCGAGGGAACTGCTTTGGCGCCGCAGCGGAAGCGGACCCAGACGACCATCGGCTCAATAAGACTCGGTGAATAAAGCGGGAATTGAGTCAAGAAGCAGATCAGAGCGATCACCTTTCAGGTTAGTCTTACTCCACACAGGATTTCAGTTTTTCCATTTATCTATTTCTTTGTATTTCTGTATTTCTTCTAGTGTTCCGCATGTGCACGTAGAAATGGATCTTTTGGGAAAATAAGATCTAACCTGCATCTTCCTCATCCTTTCCTTCTCGGCCGCAGCACATTCCTCCGCCTGAAAAGTTACTCGGTTTAGTTGACTCGATTTAGTGTATTCAACGTAAAAAAAAAAAAAAAAAAAATGTTCTCAGACTAATAGACAAAGTAAGTGTAGCCAACGACCAAGGCGCCCAGCCTGATAACAGCACATTGGTCCATATCAGTCTGATTGCCTTCTGCCTTTACCATGGAGAAGAGTTCATCAGCGGAAGGTTCCTCCAACAGGTCCTGCGGAGTCTCCCTGCCCTTATTCTTCTTACTGGTGGACGCCCCGAGGCCAGTCAGGATGCCCACTGCGAGAAGCTGCCTCCTTGAAGCTGCATCGTGAAGAGGCGTGTTGCCCTCATCATCGACGGAGTCCACGTCGGCCCCGCCCGCCGCAAGAGCCTCCAGCGTCCCCCAGTGCCCCCGCCTGGCTGCCAAGTGCATCGCCGTTCGGCCTGAAAGTCGTCCGAGTTGAGGAGGCGATCAGTGCCTTCGCTGACAAAGCTCCGCCCTCCGAAAAAGGCATTTCGTCTGGTCATGATATCAATGATAATGATGATAATATAAAAAAATAATAGTAAAAGCAGGAATTACAAAAGGATGAACAACGAGAGGAAGAGCAACAATGATGATAACAATAATAAAGAAAAGAAATAAAACTAATGATGATAATAAGATTAATAATGATACAATATTATTAGTTTTAGTTTACTAGTGGTCAAAATAAATATGAGGATCATAATATGAGTAAGAATAATGATAACAATAATAATAATGATAACAGACAACATTGACAATTATAAGAATAAAAATGCTAAAAATAGCAATAAAAATGATTATGATAACATTACTACTACTAATAAAAGGATGGTGATAAGAATAGTAATAATAATAGTGATAATTATTGCAACAATAACAATAAAGAAATACCAATGACAATAATAAGGATAATTATAAAAATTGAAACACTATAATAACAAGAACTGAAGCAAAGGTGAAAATGATATTAATAATAAATGATGTTAATAAATAATAAATAATAAAGAAATAAATGATAAATAATGTTAATAAAAGTACTGTTAACAATAAATGATGTTAATAGTAAATAAACTTAAATAATGTTAATAATTATTCATAACGAAAAAACAGTAAACCAAAAATATTTAAAACGGCATGACTAAATTGTAGTAATAATTATAACAAAATAATTGTGGAAATCTATGATGGCTGGAATAATTACTCTACTGACATTAATATCATGAGACACTTCGATGATAATGATTATGTTAATAGTAAAATTATTTCCGAAAATAATTATAACAAAAACTACAATAATGATAAGATATGAATAATAAAATAAAAGCAAGTAATAATAATGAATCATTTAATCATTTAATATCAAATGATGAAATTTAATAATTCAATAATAAGAAATTAACAATAATAAGAATAAGAGTTGATCTTTCGGAGGAATGCACACCTCATGCACACAAAGTGAAGAAAGAGGAAAAGAGGAGGAGAGAGACAAAGGGACGAAGAAGAAAGCAAACGCAGGGACAGGAAGGGCCCCTCCAAGTGTGGCGCATAAAAATTGCCGATGAGCATTTCTTGCCTTGGAAATGACTGCCTTTTCAGATGGAACTTTGGCGAGAAGTAGAAAAACTGGCCTAGAGTTGCCCTTTCAGCACACACACACAATTCATTCGGCAATTATGTCTTAAATATCTCGGATACAAATATGGACTCTGGGAAATTGACTATTGGCAACTTCACGACAAAACCCCACGCTCTGAGTGACAGAAAATGACGTTCATAAGCACAAAACACAGAAGCTCAGGCCACCAATTAGCATAAACACCATCGGGTGTGAAGAGAACAGTCACAAGGTGCCATAAACATGCAAAATAATGGCATGCAAACCACTTTTTTTCCTCACAAATAACGCAGGAGTTTGGAGGAAGGTGCCAATTACTGTATTTTCCTGATTAATATTTCTTATAAAAATGTTTCGTTCCACAAATCGCCAATGAAATGAAAATAAAGAAATTTCATTTTAAATGAATAGGTTCTGTTTCTCAAAGGATAATTAGGATTATAGCATTGCGATTATAATGATAATTACAATAATGATAATAACAATAATGATGATAATAATGACAATATTAAAAGAATAATAAAGATAATCAAAATAATAATAATAAAAATAATGCTAATATTATTTTTAAAAAAAATCTAAACAATATGATTATTAATAATAATATTAATAATAACAATAATGATAATGATAAAGAAAGGAACAGATAAAGGAAGAAGGAGAGATGAAAAGAAAAGAAGAGGAAAGAGTAAAAAGAAATGAAGAGAAAAGACAAAGGAAGAGCGAAGAATAATAAGAAAATAAGGGATAATAACAATATTAGTGAGATGGAGGAAAAGGAGATAGAGGAAAGAGCGAAGAAGACGAAGGAAAAGGAAAACAGGAAGAGCAAAGAGTAGGAGAAGAGAAAAAGGAGGGAAAAGAAATGGCAAAAACAGGAGAAAGAAAGAGAAATGAGAGAGAGAAGAAAGGAAGAGGAGAGAGAAATGGATGTAGAGAACAGAGAGAGAAGGTGAAAAAGAAGAAAGGGGAAAAATAGGAAGTCAGGAAAGGAGAGAGAGAAAAAGAGAGGAAGATGAAAACGGAATAATGACAATAATAATATCAGCAATAATGACAATAATTATAGCCCCAAGAAAATAATGCTAATGATGATCAAAAAATAATAATTACAGCGATAAGTCATAGTAATTAATAATAATAATGATTATGAGAATAATAATGACAGAAGAGCAAAGAGTAGGAGAAAAGAAAAAGAAGGGAAAGGAAATGGCAAAAACGGGAGAAAGAAACAGAAATGAGAGAGAGAAGAAAGGAAGAGGAGAGAGTAAGGGAGGCAGAGAACAGAGAGAGGGAGAAAGAGAAGGAAGGGGAAAAATAGAAAGGAAGTCAGGAAAGGAGAGAGAAAAAGAGAGGAAGATGGAAACGGGATAATGACTATAATAATAACAACAACAATTATAATAATTATAACAGCAAGAAAAATATTGCTAGTGATGAAAAAAAAATAATGACAGTCATAGCAATAAAACAATAATAATGATAATTACGGGAATAATAATGACAGACCACGAGTGATGCCAGAGCCGAGCCTCCAACTGCAGCGTTTCACTCGCACCAAAAGTCTCTCTTATTCTTTTTCGTTTCATTCTTACTCGTCATGAAAATAGAAACTTGAACAGCTACTATGGTTGGCTGTCGTTGTGTGAAAAAAATGCATTCATCAAATAAAACTTTTACGAAGGTGAAATAAATCATTAAAAGGCTTCATACTGCTTTGGTTCAATAGACCTAGTAAGGTTAAATCATAAATCAAACATTTATAACTACATAATAATCCACACGAATTTATAAATATAGAAACGTAATATATATATATATATATATATATATATATATATATATATATATATATGCAAATAAAATCTTTATTAAAACTATGCATAACCGAATAAAAGGACTGATTTTAACATTCACACAAAGAAAATCTCTACATATAATGACTGAAAACGAAAGGCAAGGAAGACGCTAACATTGGCTCGAAACACGCGGTCCGCCTGGCTGTGCGCTCCTGGCGAGGGCCGGCGCATGGGTCGAGGGGCGCCACCAACTTTGGGGAAACAACGACACTTCACAACGACGCAGCGACGTCTCTTTCTCCTCCTCCTCTCCTCTCTCCCTCCATTCCTCCTCTTTTCCTCTCTTCCTCCCATACCATGTCTTTCTTTTGCTTCTCCTCTCCTTTCTTACTCTCTCTTTCTCCTTCTTCCATCTGTCATTATCTTGTTCCTCTTGCTCTCTCTCTCTCGTTCCACCTGCCCACTCTCTCTCTCTCTCTTTCCTCCTGCCTGCTCTCTCTCTCTCTCCCCCTGTCTGCTCTCTCTCTCTTCCTCTTGCCTGCTCTCTCTTTCCTCCTGCCCGCGCTCTCTCTCTCTTTCCTCCTGTCCGCTATCTCTCTCTTTCTCTCTTTCCTCCTGTCTGCTCTTTCTCTCTCTCTCTTGCTCCTCCTTCTCTATCCTTCTCTTGCTCTTTTCTTCCTCTTACTGCTCTATCTCCCTCCCCCACTCCCACTTTTATCTTCCACCTCTCTGTGTCTTTTTCCTCCTTCTACACTCTCACATCCCTCCTCCTCTTCTTCTTCCCCTCTCTCATTCTCTTCTTCTCCTATCTCTTTTCCCCATTCTCTTCCTTCATCTCACCCTCTTCTACCTCCTCCTCTCTGTCGGTCTCTTCCTAATCCTCCTCTCCCTAACTACTTTTCTGTTCCCCCTCATCTTCTTTTTGCCTCTCTTCATCCTCCTCGCCTTTCTCACTCTCTTATTATTCTTTTCTCCTCCTCCTCCTCCTTTTCTCTCTTCTCCTCATCTTCCTTTCTCTTCTCTCACTCCTTTTTTTCCTCTTGGAAGGCGAGGTTCGGGTGAGAGGATGAGATGTTCAGAAGAGGAGAAAATAGAAGATAAGAGAGAAAATAAGGGAGAAAAAGAAAAGAAGCAAGGAAGGGAAAAGAGAAAGGTGGGAAGTGAGAAAAAGGAGATACAATGAAAGGGGGAGAGAAGAGAGAAAAAAAGGAAGAGGAAAAAGAGAGGAAGGAAAGGAGAAAGAAAGAAAATGGCCTGGAGTTTCCCTCTCCATACACACACTCACACATACATACACATGCGCACACACACATACATGCACACACATACATGCACACACACCCACCCACATACACGCACACACATACACCCACACCCACATACACGCATACACACATACATGCACACACAAACAGAAACACACACACACATACACACAACAAATATCGGCACTGGGAAATTGACTAATTGACTCCCGACAAAAACCCGCGCTCTGAGTGACAGAAAAATGGCGTTCATAACACGGAATACAAAAGCTCAAACATCTAATTAGCATAAACACCATCAGGAGTGAAGAGGAGAGTCACAAAGTGCCATCAATGTGCAAAATAATGGCATGCAAACTACTTTTCTTTTCTTATAAATAGCGCGGGAGTTGGTGGAAGGTGCCAACTAGTCAATTTTCCCGAGACAATTTTTTTTTTTCTCACCAAATGAAATGAGAGAGAAAAAAAAAGTGTATATATATTTTTTATTGGTTTTGTGTCTCCAGGGATGATGATTACGATACTATGATAAACAAACATTTATATATATATCAACAGCAATAATAATAACAATAATAGGAATTCAAAAAATCAAATGTCAGTAATATTAATATTAATAATAGTAATAATAATGATCTCAATGATTTTACAATTTTCTTATCATTATTATCATAATAATTATTTTCAATAATAATGACCAAACTGATAATGATTAAAAGATAATAACCATATAGTTAATAATAACAGTAAGAAAAGAAACGTCGATCCCGTCGCCTTACCGTCCTTGTCTCTGGCGTTGTGGTCGGCGCCCTCCGCTAGGAGAACGTCCACCACGGGAAGATGACCCTCCCTGGAAGCTAAGTGCAGCGGAGTGGCATCTGCGGGAGGAAGAAGCTTGTATTAAGCGTCGTGTTCATGGGTGATGGGAAGGAGGGTGGAAATGGAGGCGAAGGTGAAGGAAATAAAGGAAAAATAGAAGAAGGGGTAATGAGAAAAATGCCCCTCATAAGCAAAGAATACAAAACTTCGGACCACCAATTAGCAGAAACATGTGAAGAGAACACTCACAAGGTGCCATAAATTTGCCAAATAATTCTCTTATTTCACTTCTTTTTTTTTTCCTTTTCTTTTTTCTTTTTTTTTTACTAATAACAGATGGTGTAGAGGTACCAACTAGTCAATTTTCCCGAATTGATTGTGCCTCACGGGATGATGGGGATTATAATGCTATGCTAAAAAAAAATAATAATAATAATAGTAATAATATTAATATCAGCAGCGAAAAGGGAAAACCAGAAGAGAAGTGATAAAGAGAAAATAATAATGAGAGGATGAGAAAGGAAGGAACAGAGACAGAAGAAAGAAGTAATAAAAGATAGAGAGGAGGGTGGAAGGGAAGGAAGAGGGAATGAGAAACAGGGGGACAGAAGAATGAGAAGTAAGAAGACAGGATTATATATATAGGAACCATTTTGAAATATTTTCTTTTACACAATGTCTGCCTCAAAATCATATTGATTTTACTTATAGAAGAGTCGAAATCTGGTTTTCACCATTTTATTCTTTTATGATTTGACAGATGGCACTGCGAGACAAATGAGTGGTCATGCTTTCCAATGTATTTTTGCATGTTTGTATATATGTATATATATGTGTGTGTGTGTGTTCATATGTATGTATCTATGTATGTATATATACATATATGTATATATATATTTTTTCTTTATGACTCACTCTCACTCTCTCTCTCACCATCTCACTATGTATGTATCTATACATGTACAAACATACAAATATAATATATAAATGTATACATGTATATATATATATATATATGTATATATACAGATATATATGTTTGTGTATGTATAAATATATGTACCTGGCCTAAAGTTTCCTTCTTCACACACATACATAAACACTCAAACACACACACAAACACAAACAAACACATACAAAAAAACACAAACACATACACACACACACAAACATAAAGACACACAAACACAAACACACACAAACACAAACACACACATATGCAAACACTCACAAACATACCTGTACATATACACACAGCCGCACATACATAAACACACACGCATACACACAAAAGTCCTTGGCAATTATGTCCTAAATATCTTGGGTACAATTATTGGCTCTGGGAAATTGACTAATTGGCAACTCCCGCCAAAA